TACACCATCAGGCGCGCAGTGGAGGAGGACAACGACGACCTGGTGCCGCTCATCGACCTCTACTCGAGGCGCCTGGCGGCGCTCTACGGAAACTACTACGTGGCCGAGCTGCTCACGCCCCACCCGAGCGCAGAGGGCGTGGCCCGGCACATCGTCGTGGCCGAGCATCGGGGCGTGGCCGTCTCCGTGATGGTGCTGAACGACGTGGCCAACTACGAGCAGCTGAACGAGGAGTTCGAGCTGACGCCGTTCAATGGGCTGCGCAAGCGCAGCGACGACGACGACATCGAGCTGCAGACGCTCAGCCAGCCGGAGGTGATCCTGTCGCAGGAGGCCAATGAGTGCGCGCGTCCCCATCGGGCCTCGCCCCCGCTAACGCCGCCTGCAGCTTTGCAGAGGAGGAGTCGGACGGCGACAGGAGCCTGAAGTTCGCCTCCAGCTACGAGGAGGACGACGACTACCTGGTGGAGGTGGTTGACAGTGACAGCGACTACTCGCTGGTGTTCACCAGCTCGGATCTCTTCGTCTTCGACGAAGAGGACGAGGAGGAGCGCGAGCTGGCAACAGAGCTCGCCGACTCGCTGAGCAGCTACGAGATCCTCAAGGAAATGGAGAAGGTGAAGACGTACGAGGTGGACCCCCGCTTGACCTACGTGGACATGATGGAGAAGCTGTCCAAGAGCATGAGTAAGTGCCAGTGACATAACCTCAACGCGGTCAGGTTGACAATGCGCCGCGCAGTTTCCACCCGCAGCCGCACGGCGCATGTTCCGAAATTCTGCGGGCGCGGCAACGCCTTCAGCATCGAGGTGGCCGCCACGCATCCCGACCACGAAATCGGCCTCTACCACGTAATGCATAGCGCGTCGCCCAACACGCCCTCTATCGACGGCCCTTCCAGGTGCTGGAGGCGGTGTTCGAATGCTACCCGGACCGCGACTACGCAGTCATCAGCACGCCCACCAGCTGTCGCAGCGAGCAGTGGATGGAGCGCTTCAATCGGGTGGCGCCACGCCCCGCCAGCAACCACGCCTACGACCTGTTCGTGTGCCATCGGAGCAGCCTGCTCGGCGAGCTCGAGTGCCAGGTGGCGGGGCGCGAGCACATGGCCGAAGTGTACACGTTGCTAAGCACCATCCCCACCCGCGCCATCGTGCTGTCGCACTTTGAAATATTCATGGAGTTCGAGAACAGCCCCTACCAGTGCTTCGTGTTCCTCTGCGAGGGCCACGTGGTGGGGACGGCCGGTGAGTGGGGGGCGCCAGCCCCCCCAGCCCACTAGTCGGCCAATCGCATCGCGTGCTTCCAGTGGTGTCCGAGGAGTACAACGTGGAGTACATCGACGCCCAGTACGACATCGCCAGCTGGGTGCCGCTCAGCTGCTACAGGAGCGGCTCCTACGGCCTGATCGAGAGCCTGATCCTGTCGCCGATCTTCCACAACTCCGGCCGATTTTTCAAGCGCGAGCTGCACCGGCTCAGCGACTTTCAGGTGCTGTTCTACAAGCAGCGCGCCTACGACAAGGGCGCCAGCCGCGAGCGCCCCATCCCCAATCTGCTGCACTGGCTGCAGCCGGTGTTGCCGCGCCGCATGCCCGAGTACGACCTCAAGATGTTCGCCGAGGAAGGTTACCACGTCAGCGATGCGCTGATCCGGCGCGACCACTACGCCCTCTACATGAGCACCGTGTCGCAGAGCAGCATGCAGCGCTACAGCATCAACACGCGCATTGTGGTGGTGGGCTGCAGCAACACCGCCTACGCCTTCCTGGAGGCGCTGCTCATCCGGCAGCACAACCCCCACTACATGGTAGGCGGGGCATGCCCCCCTCCCGTCACGGTGCCAGTCACGCCCCCCTGGTTGCAGATCAACTTCAACAATGTGGTGCTGGTGTGTCCCGATGGCGTCCACTCGAAGCTGCCCAAGAAAATCAAGGAGCTGTTCTCGGTGCAGAAGAACTTCATGACCGAGCGCTACATGGAAATGATCAGCTTGAAGACCTACATTGGCGTGGTCACCGGCAATCTCACGCAGATTAACAGGTATTTTCTGGTTGGGTCGCAACCCGATGTCTTCTCGCTGACAAGCGCAACTCAATGAGGGGCGTGGCTGTGGCAATCGTTGCCCTCCCGGCGCCATTTTGACTGGGTGGTTGCGTCCCCTTCAGACAAGCCCAGCACTAGCCGAGCACGCGCTGACGCACCGTGACACAGAGACAACAAGCAATCTTCCACGTTTGACATTTTTGCTTCAAACTTTTTAAAGGTTAGGGACACTGGAAACACCGTCATCGGCAAAGGTAGACGTTGAGGCGCTCGATTGAAAATATTCTCATACTGTATCTGATATTTGAAACTTCAGCAGCTCTTTAAAATTGATTTAGAAAGACTAAAAAGTTTTACATGCAATTGAAAATCGGGAAAATTTTGAATGTTGACAGCTGTCAAATTTTTGCACCACGCCTTTTGACATTTCCATTACAAACAGTTTGGCGTCGTAATTCAATTGATCAATGTGACAGAGTGACAAATTTTTCAATTTTTTTGCGAAAAACTTCTCCGTTTCACCGTCAATATGTCCCATTTCGCACTATTTTATCCACTTCTATGTGAAATGATGAATCGAAGAATTCAACTCGCCAACTATTTATTCGGGCCCACCCGCTTTTACCTCGGACAATGACTAAGAGTGAGACCGTTGCTATGGCAAGGACAGGGAAAACAAGGAAAAACAGCTTTTTGTGATTTTACAGTGTTGCCGAATCTTGATGGAATTCCAGTCTCGATGATACGATCTGAAATCGAACATTTCATCAAACACTTGAACTGTAAAATTTTTTAAGTAATAATGATAGTTCCAGGATTTTTTTTCCCATTTTTCGCCTAACTTTCCAATTTTTTACAAACTTCTTTTTAGGTATTTTGCCTCAAAAATTTTTGTCTTTAAAAAAGACAGAATTTCCTCACGTCTTTTATTACAGATTGATAAA